GCTGGTCGTAACCCAAAAAGTTCGTTAACAGAAGCGTTCATAACCCGAGGTTCCACTGTATTAGGTATGTTCGCTGCCTTGAGTTATTTATAAAAATAATAAAGGGATAAAAAAATCTAAAAAAAAATCAGTGGGACTCACAAACTCACTTGAAGATGAATATGTTTGGGATTGGATAAAAATGTCCGCTTCATTTTGCTGTGTCTTTTGTTTTTTGGACAGGGTGTGAATATCAAAGTTTTGAAGCAGCTGTTTATTTCCGAAGCATCTCTTGCGATTTTGCAGGATTGTTTCTGGTGGTGGTTTCTTCATAAGTTCAAGGTACAAAACCTAAAGCCTTATCATGCCTTCCATAAACATTCATCCCTTATGAAGAAAGTAATTGACACAAGATTTCTTGTGCTGTATGACTGAATATTAGGTCACTGAATGAATTCTTCGGCATTAAATGAAACAGCTGGCTTCAGAGTAGTTTCACTTCATGTTATCTGCCCCCTAAAAGGTCTGAGGATTTCAGATATGATATTTGAAGCTGTTTTTCACTAAAGGTTTTGCCCAAGTTATAACCCCGTCTTAATGTTCACTTCTTTTTCATGCTCACAATTATTCCCACATTTAAATGCAGCTTAGGTATGACATTCGAATACTTATGAAGTTATTTCAGACACGCAAATATGTTTTCAAGCAAATCCGGTGATGCTGAATCTCTGAAAGATAGCAATTGTACTCTCACAATACACTAAACCGGTTTAGGGTGCGGTTTATTTACTTATTTGGGCTTCTAGGCCACTTCAGTCCCCAAACCCTAGTCAGGTTAATTGCATTATTATTTTTATAAAAGTTCTAGAGAAAGTTTATTGCAATCTTTACTTGTGGCATTTGCATATTACTTTGATCATAATAACTGCTAGGGACCTATCTGGGTGGGTCCAATTTTGGTAGTATGGTGAAAGTTGCTGCATTTCTAAACACTGTCATTAATTCAAGACTATTGACAACAGCTCTGCACTGATGTTTTTAATTGTAGAATATACTTTGCTTAATACTTTCTCCTGATTATTTCAAGCCTGATCAAGATGAACAGGACCACTTTTTTGACAGAATATCAGATAGCTATGTGACCCTTCTGTGGAGCATACCCAATTACATTAAAGATGCTTTTCTTCAGGTAACAACATTGTTTGCAGTTATGAATTTTGCTCCTTCCAATCCCTCTTTGTCTTGTTCAGAGAAGAGCAAAAGGTGTGTCTGCTGCCATCTTTCTATCTAATTACCTCTTAACTTAATCTGTTTTTGTTGATGAACATGCCAGAATCTTTCATTCTGTGTCATGCCTTCAGGCTCTGTTATTGCCTCTGAATTTTTTTTTTAATTATTCTTGGTAATCTCAACTACTTACTCCATAAGACCCAAGCAAAGTTTGCACGGAGATTTGTGAATCTAGCTAACTTGCTTCCCTGAATAACATGGAGCAGTAAAAATTTATTTACGTATTTGTCAGTCACTCCATAAGCAGAATTCCCTGGGTGATGAACACTCATTTTAAGAACTGCATCCTCTTGATAAGGAAAGAGGGTGACTTCATGTCACATCCCTCACTTTATCCTGTAACTAACTTGGTACCTTCTAGATATATCGTTATAAGATCTGATGGGGTTGATGTGCTCCAGGTCCCATCACTGTCATAGCACCCATGAGGTATGCCTTCTCTACTGCTGTGCCTGCCTTTTGTGACAGCCCTGCTGGCTTTTAGGAAGGCTTTTCCCACAAGCTCTGGCCCCGCTAACTTCCATGTAAGAGTGATGCAATTGTTAACTCTGGTATGTTTTGATACTGTTTTTCCTCCCTAGGCTGGTTGTCTTTTATTGTTTCAGTCTTTTTATTGTTTTTTAATCCTGTGTAACCACCCAGAGTCACAAGGAATTGGGCAGCCTTAGAAAATTATTAAGTAAAATAAATATTGGTCTATAGCTTCCCAAATTCCCAGCTAGGACATTGTAGCTTCAACTGATCTGAAAGACAATAATTGGAGAAGGTGATTCTAACACATTTTTTGGTCTCAGGTTAAGTTGCTGCTCTGTTCAGCATGTCTTCTAAGTTAATAGGGCTTTTTTGTGGTAATTTTTAAATTACCACAAAATTAGTGTGGTAAAAACTAATTAATTTTTAATTAACTGAAAAAAAATTGTGGAAGGTAGGACATCATTCTCCCTCCTTACTGATTTGCCCGTAAGTTCATTTGGTTCGCTGCCACCCAAGCTTGCTATGTTCTTTGACAGACCTTGTATTTTTCCCACAGCTGGTGATTCAGCTATATTTTGAATGCCTGTTTATTTCTATATATAAGCATCACCCACTTTTACAATTAACTTAATTTGCATTTTGGCAGATGTATCCTGACTGCTTGTCCCAAGCCATCTATGTTACTTTTTGCGAAGCTTTTCCTCAATCTTTTAATCGTTTTGATGATCAGTTTAAAGATGAATTAATGAATTTAGTTTTCCAGTGGATAAGAGGTACTGAAATATTGATAATTATTTTTCTTTGCAGTGGATGGCAATAGTGTATCTCAATAGTTTTCTATGTAATTTCACCTAGTCAGAATTTTCTCTCTCTATCAGTTCTTTGAAAGCATCATACAGTTAGAGTTAAGCCACTGAGTCCAACCTCTTGGTCACTTCAGGAGCCCAAATTAGAGTATCCCAAACAGATGGCTGTCCAGCCTTTATTTGAACATACCCCAGTAAGGTGAGCCCATCACCACTCTCAGTAATTAGTTCCACTGTTGAACCATTGTTACTCGTAGAATTTTTTCTAACATTCATTTGTAATCACCCCTTTGTAACTTAAAACCTTCATTCTGGGTCCCGTACTCTGGAAGAAGCCAGAACTGTCTTGACCTTTCTTCTGTGTGGTCAAGAACATTGAGAGACTGTGAATTCTAGTCCTCCTTTGGCCATGAAAGCCAGCTGGGTGACTCTCTCAGCCCAGCCCAGCTCGCAGGATTATTGCAGGGAAAATAGGAGGCAGGAGCATTACGTACACCACTTTGTACAAAATAAAGGTGCAATATAAATTAATAATAAGAAAAAAATTAAAATCCCCCACAAAATTAAAGAATTGTAGAACTGAAAGGAACCACAAGAATCATCTAGTCAAGTTTTTCCCAAAGTGGTCAATATCAATATCAATATCCATTATTGTTGTTGTTATTTGTAGTCCTATTAATTAAAGTAGTATTTATTAAATTATTTTCATATAATAAATGTTTGGGGCTCATTGAACAATCTGAAACTTCATGAAGGGGTTGATGAGCTGAAGAGTTTGGGGACCCCTGATCTAGTTCAACCCTCTGCAGTGTGCAGGAAAACCAATTAAACCTACTTCTGTCATTTGTTTTTTCAGGTGAAACTTACCCAGCTCCTTCATTGCTCTCTTCATTAGTTTTAATTTCTAGTGCTTATTGGCCTAGTGGTTGAGGCACCAGGCTAGAAAGCAGGAGGTGGTGAGTTCTGGTCTCATCTTAGGCATGAAAGCCAGTTGGGTGACTTCGGGCCAGTCACTCTCTCAGCCCGACTCACCTCACAGGGTTGTTGTTGTGGGGAAAATAGGAAGGGGAAGGAGTATTGGTATGTACGGCACCTTCAATTATTTATAAAAATAATAAAGGGATAAAAAATCTAAAAAAACCCTGTTTGTTTCTCTGATTTCTTCCCAAAGGGCGGTACCCAGAATTATACATAGTACTTGAGGCAGGATCTGACCAAATCAGAAGAAAGCGGGATGATCACATCCTATGATTTGGAAACCGTACTTCTGTTCAGTTGCATTTGGCTTTTTTTGCAGCCACATCACACTACTGCCTCATATTTAGTTTGCAATCAACTGCTATTCCAGAATCTTATTAGCAAGTATCATTACCAAGTCAGGTATCTTCCATCCTATAGCTGTGAATTTAACTTTTGTTTCCTGATAGAAGAATTTTGCACTTGGCTCTGTTAAGCTTGATTTTATTGGTTTCAGCTTATTTCAACATCAGGATTATTGTGAATTTTATTTCTGACTTCTAGGGTATTAGCTGTTCCATCCAATTCTATATCTTCTGCAAATTTGATAAGTATTTCCTCTATCTCTTCATCCAAGTAAATAATTTTAAAAAGTGAAAGAGCAGAGGGCCCAGGACTTGTGGCATCCCATTTATGACAGATCATTAACAAACATTCCCTGAGTACTGTTCTTGAGTCAGTAATATGCACACACTTAATTGATGTGACATTTAGTCCTCATGTAACTAGCTTGCTGCTTAGCATGTTTTGGGGTACTTTGTCAAATGCTTTTCTGAAGTCCAAATATATTACATCTACAGTATTCTTGCATTCTGTTAAGGTACCTGATAAAAAAAATAAGATAAAGTTAGTCTGTTGAGATTTGTTCTTGAATAAAAGTACCAAAAACATTTGGTTGATTGTATTATTCAGTTCATCCATTGACCCTCTTCCAGGTTTTAAGCCACAAAGGTTTGCTTGGAAAAAGTGGCATTTTTGGTGGATGGAAACACCTAGAGATCTCAAGATAGAGAAAGACTCCTTTTGCCAGATGTCATCACAGATAAATCTTGAGCCTAGAAGAAGGTCAAGATCAAGATCAAGATCAAGATCAAGAACATGTAAGTACCAGGCAAATGGATACAAGGGATTATCCAATGGTTGTTCGAGAGCTATGGGGAATGATGTATCATAGATACAATGGTGAAATTTGTAACTTTTTAAAAATATTATTTTCAGTTTTTCAACTATAGTCTTTAGATAGCAGTAACCACAAGGAATGATACTGAGCATGATTTATATAACTCTAGACTGCTGTTACCTTTTCAATGTGGGAATGCCTTGAAGATTTCCTGAAACATCATAAAGGGTATTCATGAAGAAATTCATGAGAAATGAGGCTTATTACTAATATATGTGATGCACAAACAGCAGGTTGCTTTTGCAGTCACATGCAGTTTGTTGCCTTCTAAAGATACCTGACAACATCAGGAACCCAATACTGGACTAGGTAGGCCTGTGCTCTAATTCTGCAAATTTGTTACATTTGGAATTCTTTTCACTTGCTGTGATTCCAGTGAAAATTGGTCCAATTGGAAAATTACTGTTAATCCTGGGGAAAAAAGTGTCCAGTGGTGCTAACAGTGATGCTTTTTCCCATATATTGGGGGCTAAGGGGAAGAAGCTGATTTTCATTTGGACCAATGATGCCACCATGTTTGCTGACCCTCACCATGGTGATTCTGTTCTTTAGAAGAAAAAGGCTTGCAGTTAATGTCATGCCTGGTTTCTCCATCAGAGGATCTGGCAATCCAAGCTTCATATTTGACCTGGATCAGAACGGCAGGCGAACTCTTTTTTCCCCACTTGAATTCTAATGGTGGTGTATAATGATCTGTCTGCCAAGCAAATGCAGAATAAGTATTAAAAGTGGCTTGTTTTTGCATAGCTGGTAAAGTTAGCAGCAGGTTGAACAGGTAGCAGCTAAATTAGACTGCGAAATTTGTCCTCAAGCTTGTTGGCATATTGATGGCGGTACTGGAGGAAGAGGGTGCCAATGTGAATCCATTCATTCTGGCTAGACGTTGGTTTAGGAACTGGCCTGATATTTAAGAGAAACATAGCAGAGCCATGTCTCCTATAACTTTCAAAATACTAGCAGCCTTAACTGGCAGGGGGACATGGCATTCAGATTTTTTGCATATGGGGGCTGTTCCATCTGAAACTTTCATTGTAAGAATTGCTACAGGCTGTCATTTTTGTCTGCTATCCAGTACATATTGGCAGGAGTTTTGTGTACTAGACTTCACGTCTGTCATAAGAGGAGAAAAGAAAGGGCCGCTAAGCTAGACTGTTTTGATACTCCTTTGGAATTAAAAGCATATGAAACAGATGCATCTTGATAATTTTTTTTTATAAATAACATCAACTTAAATAACTTAAAACAATAAAGTTCAATTATAACTTAAAATAAAGTTTAATGCTGTAACAACAGAAAAGCATGAATATCGGTGGAAAAAAACTTAGAAGCCATATGCCCAAACAGGAATTATATAAAAAGATAGGTTATGTTACATAAAAACCCATATGATGTTGTCTGAATTTTTTACTTCATCGTTACATAAAAGGATATTTTGAGGAAAGTGAGATGAAATACATTTCCCTTATTAATATTATTTAATATTACACTATTTTGTAACATCTTTCAGAGCAGCATTAGGCATTCTTACTAATACATATGAATACATTGCAGTGATGCAACTTTCATCTGTCATACCAAGTTTATTGTCTGAATACCACAGTGATCCAATTTCAATTTGCTTTAATACTTATACCTTTTTTATCCTGGGAAGTATTTAATACTGCTTAGCCTTCGCAACTCATACCGACTTGATCATCTGAAGACTCAATCCAGCAGCCATCAAGTCCGTCATATTTTACATAACCTTTTCATCTGCTTTATTATTATTATAGCAGCCATGTTTAACGAAGCAGATAGGTTTATTTTAAATAAAAGATCGTCAGATAATCAAGTCATGACAACGCGCAAGGGTAAATTTAATTTAAGAATCTGCAAAGCTACTCTTATGCTAACATAAGGATTGTACAACTCTTTACAATTTTTTACAACTTTTAGTTACTAAATCTGAAGTAGTGTATATTTTCATTTTTTTTTAAAAGCAAGTCTCTTAAAAATAAAACAATGCTCAAGTCCAGCTTGTTCAGTTTTTCAGTAGTATTCCAGCTTGTCTTCCTTGCACTTTCAAACAGTCCCCTTTTCAAATGAGATATATATTTTGCTGGAACTGGTTGTCCATAGTTAATACAAGATTAGGATACTGCAAATGGAAGAAAATGGGAGGAAGTATCTTCTTTACTTGTTTTTTGGCCTCTCTTAGGGGCACCATTCTGTTTTAATGCGATGTACATCTCTTTCCCTTTGTGTGTCCAGTTTGCTGAAGCATAGGTGTTATAATGATTTTCTTGAATGAATTCTACGAAGTTGCAGTCTTCATTGCACACTTTCTGTTTTTTAAAAAAAATGAGGTGATCAGTTGAATGCTGAAATACCTGGCAGTGGTGTGTAATATTTAACAAAAACTAATTGCCCTTGAAATATGCAGATTAAACTACTTGAAATGTACCTACTGGCTGTGCAAATTTCTTACACCTTTTAATAGGGATTGATGTATCAGTAGCGTTCCAGATGTTGCTGAACAGCTTATGTCATCCAAAGCAAACAAGGTCAATGGCGTGGGATGCTGGAAGTTGTAGTTCAGCAACATCCAGAGAACCACAGAGTGCTTATATAATAGGGACTTCCAGTTAGTCCATTTAATCTGTATTGGGGAGCAAGGCAGCATGAGGGTGGCATAGCTGGGCAGGAGAAGAGCCTAGAGCAAATAGGCAAGGGAAGTAATTAAGAGCACAAAAAGAATCCAAAAACTGCCAAGAAGAGTTATGGATCAGCCTGCCAGCAGCTTCTTCCTGCTCTCTCTCTCGTGCGCACTCGCGCTCTCTCTCTCTCTGTTTAATGTGGCTTCTGGGAGAATGAAGTCAAAACAGGGAAAACTCTGATCTCCAGTAAGTTTGCATTCCAAGGCAGCTGTCCATAAATGAGAGCAGTTCATAACAGCTACCAGTGGGATGCCATCATCCAGCAGCTCCCATGGACTAGGGCCAATGTAGTATAAAACACAGCTGATCAAAAAATATCAGGAGCAAACATATTTTTCATCAAATGCAAGCTGCTGCTAACAATTATGCCAGTACCTTTCCATAAAGTTTCCCAGACTTGTTCATAGCGAGAAAGTATTCACTTGCCACTCCTTTGATTGCCACTATTCCAACTGCCACCGTTCGTATTTCGAGAATACCTGTAGGAAATAATAGCGAGGTCTATTATCTCTACATTTGGCTCTCCTTATGATATAAAATTGCAAAGCTATTTGTTTAAATGACTTTGTTTCTTTTTATTTATAAAACTTGCTACTCTTTTCATAAGGAAGGGATAATAAACATAATAGGATCGTACATAGAATTCCCCATTGTTTTAAAGGCTATGAATGCATGTCTGGTTTACACCAGAAGAATGTTCTGGGGTATTATATACATAAAGTGCATTCATCTCCACACGAGTATGTGAATGTAGACATTAAATGTTTATGTTACTATTCATTATTTCGTTTCCAAGTTGTATAGTTAGGATTTTCATCATTTGTAAAACAAATAAAATACCTTCTTTGATTAGAGTTGCTGTTCAGATTGAAGTGAATGTACTTCTGTTGAACATTCTAAATACAAGGTTTTGAAAATGACAAGTATAGAGCTTAAATCAAGATTCATAGAATTAGTTTTTTTCAACAAAGGTACTTTGAAAGGATATATAAGAAATTTACCAGAGGCATCCTCTCTTCAGGAGCACTAACCTTAGAACTTGTAAATGATGGAAAACAGATCATGGCAACTACAAGAAGATAAAAGTATTTGTCTGACCTTTATGGCCATTAAAAGCTGATAACCTCTGAAAATCAATCTGTGTCATGCAGAGACATGCTTTACTATTGGATTTTTTTTTTCAATTAGATCCATTTACGATACAGTTAGCAAACTCTAGCTTTCATTTTTTTCTTCCCTGAACTAATATTCCTCAACCACTAGGGAAATGAGCATGCAGAAACAAATTGCTACAACCAATGGATATCTAATTCTGCTTGATGGGATTTTGAATGAAGATGGGTTGGAGCTTTAGAGAGGTGCATGTAAACAGAGATCATGCATTGAGGTAATCCATGTTGGCTTAACCATAGTTTACCCAATAGATCATACAATATGCTAAACCATGTTTTACAAGCTATAACGGATGGCTGCACACAACAAGCTAAACCCAAGGACATTCAAATCACATTTATGGCATATTGAAAAAATAGATAGATAGATAGATAGATAGATAGATAGATAGATAGATAGATAGATAGATAGATAGATAGATAGTTTGATGTGGAAACATTGCCATTAAATGATTTTTGATAAATTGGCATTCCTAGCAGTATGAAAGTGGTGTTGGTTTTCTATGTTAGCTGAATTGCAGTTGATTTTTCTATTGTCTGGCATGTCTTGGCGCATAGCTCCCACCGTGCTTTGTCCATGTTAGTGGCTCTGACAGTGGCTATGCAAAAGGGAAAGGACTAATTGTTTAAACATACTTTTTCCAATTTTTAGGCATTACTTAAAATAAGTCTTATAAGTAGAGAAAAACTTTCAAAGGTACATGGAAAAAGATTGAGAAAATAGGCTGACCAACTAAGCACCAACATCTTTCTTTAAAAATTAAATTTAAAAATCATGCCACGATGTTTTTATTTCATTGAAGTACAACTGTGCAATTATTCTAAAGTTTAGGTGAAAACCTCATGAAGTTAAAGACTAAATGAACAACTGAATACTTAATCAGGTATATGACTTTCTTTCCATCTGTGGAACTGGTGACTGTTGCTGTCAAAATTCACAGCAGTGACCAGCTAGACCCCGAGAATGGCGAATTTGCTGTTCTGTTTCCTGATTTATGAGCCATTCTCCTTATAACTGAGTCTACAACAATGACCTTAAGGTACTTGATGTACTTGAATATGAAGTGATATTTGCTCCCCAAAATGGTTTAAATGATAGGTAAGTACAATAGAATTGGTGACATTTTTATAACATTAAGCTGTGCTCAGATTCCAAAGAACTCTGTTAATTTTTAAAGATTTCTCAATAACATATGTACATATGGGTATGCACACTGCATGCTAAGCAGTTTATAACATAGCATCCTGGGAAGGGCAGTCTTTTTAGATTTTTAAAACCATTTGAGGCAGTGCAAATCCTAAATGCAACTTAAAGCTCTTTGAAACTTGGTGATGACCATCAGATGACCATTTGAATAAATATGAATAATAAATAAGGATGTTGATACTGTTCTAAATGTGTTTGCTTATAGTCTAATGAAAGGTGCTTAAATGATCATCTTGTTCCATGATTCATTTTCAGGATGCTATTCATTTAGTGTTAAGAGTTTCTAAAAAGTGTACATGTGGCCTTCATTTCAATATTTAGATAAAAATTTAAGCGTACCAAAGGAGTATTATATGCAGATATCTTCAGAGATTATAATGATGCCATTATTCTTTGAATATAAAATACTTCTAGATGTAGTCAGTTTAGTTTTTTAAAGTAGTTTTATGCCTTGAGCATTTTACTTGTAGGTTTGAT